AAAAACAATCTACATAAAATAGAAGTCTATGGCCATAGACTAGGAACTACTGTCTTCCATTCCCAATACATATTTTAGACTGGCACTTTTCATTTGCTGACAATAACCATTCTGCTCACGCTGATGAAGATAATGTTTATTTTTGGAGCCATCAATATATTTACACAGTTTTGTTGATGCATTCATTCATAATATAATCATTATCGATACACACTGGATTTTGACTTCGGCTCAATTGTAAACCAATTGAAGATGTTCAGTTAAAGTGGTGTAAATATATATTAGGTGTGAGGCAAAATACAACCAACAATGCAGTTATGGGTGAACTCGGACGATATCCACTTAGTATTGGCAGAAATATAATCCGTATTAAATTTTGGAAACGTATTCTGAAAATGTCATCTAATCGACTCGTTTACAAAGCCTATAGAGAGTCTGAAAAATTGGCACAGATAGGAAAGCCATGTTTTGCTTTAGCTATTAAGAAATTATTAATTAAACACAATATGCATACTATTTGGGAGAATAGGTTTATCTCCCAAATTACCGATGAAATAACGTTGTTAATTGGAAAGAGAGAGAGAGATTGTTATTTCAAAAGTTGGAAAGATGCTTTATTTGACGATGTTCGTAGATCCCCAAACAGTAGAAATAAGTTACGAACGTTTCGCCAATTTAAAACAAATATTTTTTATGAGAATTATTTGGATATCGTTCGTGTTCCCCTGTACAGACAAGCTTTAACTAAACTCAGATGCTCTAATCATAAGTTACACATTGAGACCGGTAGATATTATGGAACTCCAGTGAAAAATAGAACCTGCCAAATATGTATAGATGCTGTTGAAGATGAAACTCATTTTCTGGTAGTTTGTCCAGCATTGAACCACAATTCGAGTTCCTTTCGCCTATCAGTAAACTTACATATATTTTTTCTCAGGATAACCATGAAATCATCCAAATTCTTGCAAGATTTGTATACACAGCTTTTCAGATTAGATATAATTTGTTAGTGTGAGTTCTCCAATAGATGAGTTGTATATGTGTGTGTATGTGTATATATATGTATATGTGTGTGTGTGTGTGTGTGTATATGTATATATATATATATGTATATATATATATGTGTATATATATATATATATAATACTTTATTTTATTGAGGTGATTAAAGTCACGCCTGTAACTTTCGTTTTTTTTTTTTTATATATGCATTGTAACCTGTTCCCCCAGGTTAGTGGGGTATATTTCTTTAGAGAAGTGGAAATAAAATAATAAATAAATATAATTACTTATACTGGAGTTAATTAATTCCTAACCATCACACAATCCATAAGACATCATACACAGAGAATGGTATATCAGAATAACATACCTTAACTATACTAACTCCTGATCCCACATTAAGAAGAAGATACGGAAAAATGTTTGGTTCTGATGTTTGAAACTGATATTCAGGGTTGCCATGGCGAACAAAAGCAAATGCTTCATCAGGAATATTTTTGAGAAGAAAATTACATCCTTTAATTAAACACGCCATCTCATCTTCCTTTTCAATTCTATAATCATGAGATAAAAAATTAATTACTGCCACATGTAACAATTATAGTCTCCTTTATTCACAATGTGTCATTTTAAAAAATATAGTAGAGTGGACATTCACAATGTGACATTTTTGTGCAGTAGACATTCACAATGTGACATTTTTGTGCAGTAGACATTCACAATGTGTCATTTTAGTGCAGGAGACATTCACAATGTGACATTTTAGTGCAGTAGACATTCACAATATGACATTTTTGTGTAGTAGACATTTACAATGTGACATTTTAGTAGAGTGGACATTACAATATGACATTTTAGTACAGTAGACATTCACAATGTGACATTTTAGTAGAGTGGACATTACAATGTGACATTTTAGTGCAGTAGACATTCACAATGTGACACTTCAGTGCAGTAGACATTCACAATGTGACACTTCAGTGCAGGAGACATTTACAGAGTGACATTTTAGTGCAGTAGACATATAC